TGAGCAAACCACTGACCGAAATTTTACAACTAAAACAAAAATTTTAACAAATAATAATACAAGATGAACTAGAAACCATGAAGCAAGGGTGTAGTGTGCCCCCGCAAAATGTATGATGAAGATCCTCCAATACAATTGCCAATCCCTTAAAGCAAACATTGACACAATCGATTTTTTTCTAAATCAATACAACTATGACAGCTGTTTTGAGCGAAATTTTCAGTTCTAATGAACAACCCCACAGAAATATTACTGACTTCAATATAATTGAAAAAATAGAGATGATGGATATGGAGGTGTAGCCATAGTCCTAAATAAAAGAATAAAATTCCGCAAATTGATTTTCAGCTCCGAACTCGACATACTGACGATTCAAACAAAAAACCTTAAACCAAACTTAGTATTTTGCGCAGCCTACTTCCCACAATCCATACCCATTGAATTTTTTAGAAATGAGATGCACAGACTGCTATCCTTTCTGGAAAATCTTGAAAATGTCCTCATATTAGGTGACTTCAATGCGAGGGCCAGAGTATGGGGCGACCAGATAACCACCTGTCGTGGAGGTAATCTGCAAAAAATTATAGAGGAATACAACTTCTGGGCGGTAAATGACGGTTCAATTACCTTTAGAAATAACCTTGATCTCCCTAATGGGTCTGTGTTAGATCTCTCCTTCTCCAATAGCAACCTGTCCTTTCAATGGAAAACTGACCCTATTAGAATAGGGGGCAGTCACCATTTTCCTATAACAATTGAAAACAGCACAATTGAAAACTGTTCGCCCAGATTTCTAGCCAAAAACAAACTCATGAAAGAATTAGAACATCTTAATCTACCCCCTAATGTCGATGATATTCATCACAAATTACAAGAAGAGCTAAATGCGGCCACCTATTCTGTTCAAGGAAACAGGTGCCCAAAAGGTTGGTGGAACGACTCATTAACAAAAACATTCAGATTTCTAAAAATTGCCTATAAAAAGTGCAAAACAGAACCTACTCCACAAAACTTCCAAAATTTGCTTGACATAAAGAAAGACTGGAAAGAACAGGTAAAAGAGGCGAAAAAGAAAAACTTTCAGAACAGGATAGATCAACTGAATGAAGACCCAACAACAAAACAAGCATGGCGTTTTGTCAAAGCTATGAGAGGAGATTTTAAAACTAACAATAGAGGAGCCTGGTCAGATGTAAACAATCTGAACTATCTTCAATATTTAAAAAGTCAAGTTCCAGGATCCAACCACAACTTCCCAATCAATCAGGAGATTATGCCTGCAAACACCCTGGCTATATCGTTTGAGGAACTGCACGAGGTACTAAAAAAAAAAAAGAGGAGTTCTGCTGGAGGGGCTGCCCGTATCACATATAGCATGCTGAAAGCACTACCGGACCAATCACTGAACAACATCCGCACAATGTTAAACGATGTCTTTCTGACGAATCAGATTCCTGAACAGTGGCGTACTATCAGTGTAGTACCCATCCCCAAAAGGGACAAGGACCTGAGGGATTACAAAAACTTTAGACCAATAGCCCTCCTGCCAGTTTTTCTGAAATGTATAAATTTGGTAATAAAAGACAGAATCTCCAATTTTGTAGAAGAGTCTGCTACCAAACCGTTCTTTCGCCTATAGGAAGAAAAAATCCGCCACTGTTTGTATAAACTATATGCTACATGATCTTGCCATACTCAAAAACCAAGGCATTAAAACTATTATCGTATCAACTGACATCAGTAATGCGTATAACTGTGTCAGTCTTGAACAACTCAAAATAATCATGACCACGATTGGTTTGCATCCGACCTACATTGAATTCATCTCAAATTTTTTGGCTTTAAGAAAATTAGTGCTTGGGGTGGACACCATTGATATAAATGATGGCCTCCCTCAAGGTAGTTGTCTCTCACGCCTGCTTTTCAACATTTATACAAAACAGCTCCATTCCATTGAAGACACCAATACCAAAGTGTACCAATTTGCGGATGACTTTGTATTGATGTCATCTCATCAAAATCTGGATATAGCGGTTCACAACCTTCAAAATAAAATAATCAACTTCTCAAACTTATGCAACAATTTAAACCTATCTTTCAACCCAGACAAGACTAAAATTATGCACTTCTCCAAAAGCAGGAAAAAAACCCATTAATATAATGGTTCACAACCAACGACTCGAACAGGTTAACACTCTCAAATTCCTTGGCAGACACATCAGTGCATCGTTAGCGGTTAGCGAACACTATAACGATGTTGTTAAGAAATCACAAAAAAATTCAAATCTATTTAAATGTATAACCACGGTAAAAGCAGGTCTCCACCCTAAGGTGGCCCTCAACTACTACCGCGCCATAGTGAGAAGCAAGATAGAATACAGCAGGTCTTCCATGTCAAACTGTGCCAAAACTACAAATAAAAAGATCCAAACGTACCAGAACAGTTTTCTAAGAAGGAGTCTTGAGTTAAATCCATCCACACCGGTCCCCCTTATATATGCGGTGGCAAATGAGCTGCCACCCGGTGAGAGAGCCTATTGGCTCACTGCTAAGGAGTTAATTACTAACATCACTTTTGACGAAACTCTTAAAGAACAATTATTCAATGGTCCCAGTGTAAATTCCAGTTATAGTTTTATATTTAATAAATTTAGACATATTTTCGCCAACCTCAGGACAACCGATCAAACTGTTCCTTATAACCCTAGGCTCAATATAATCTCCCAAACCCTCTATAACAAAAAATCTGAGGTACCTAGTGAAACCATCAGAACCATTTATAGACAAATGGTTCATGATTATGATTTGGCTGGGTACAAAATTTTCTTTACAGACGCCTCAGTTGGCAATTTAGCCACTGGAATAGCAATTTACAACTATTCGAACAAAACTAAACACTCCTGCAAGTTAAACTTTAAGTCTTCCTCCAGTTTCGGAGAAACTTTGGCTATCTTAAAAGCTGTACAGCTGGCTAAACAACACAATTATAGTAAAATAGTCATTTTCACGGACAGTCTAGTAGCATGCCAATTATTAATCAAAAAACGAACCCAAAATTATATTCATGATGCAAAAAAGAAGGTAGTTTCAATAAACAACTTTTTGATTAAAAAGGAGATTTTTGACAATTGCTCAATTGTAAAAAAATCGAAGCGGCGTTACCCAATTTAAATGTTTTGGTAGAGGGGATTTTATATCATAAATTTGGGAGTATAAATAAAATAGCTGCATTAACATTTACCTTTTAAAAATAATTAATATTTTATCTTAAAATTGTTTAAATTTTACATTAAATTCGATAACTACTTGCCAAAATCTTTATTTTTACATTAATAAAAGTAGTAGTTAGTGAACATATTTTAAAATTGTTTAGTGTCATTATGTCATCTGATTATTACACAATGTAGCTAGTCAGGACTACTACAGTTTTCTATATCGGATACGATTGTTTCTGATATAATTTCGATATTTTCTTTGTCCATGTCTTTCAAGTAACGTGAAAACTGAATTTACTTTGGGACCCGTAGGCGTCATGACTTTCAGAGAAGTGAGTATTATCCAATTCTAGTATATTTCGCCAATATCGTTGTTTCTTTGGATAAAATTAAAATATATTTTACTCAATATTGGAGTTGGTGTGAAACAAAATTTGATTTATTGTTAGTATGAAAACTAGAAACACAATTATCAACTTATTGAGCATGCTCTTTCAAATACAAAAGGGAAAAAGTTCGGTTATTTGTGCAATGGTTTTGGGATGGGGAGCGGAGACGGAGGGACGGACCCATTGACAAATTGGGTAAAATTTCGGCAGCGCTTAGAAAAATAACTCTCATCAGTCCAACTCCGGCTACGCTGACCACAGTATTTTTTACAAGAAGGTCCATAATTCAAACCGAATTTATTCATAAATTTGTATCTGAAAACTTGAAATTTTTATTTTAAACTTACGTTTAATTGTTTGACAACACGTGTGTGTTAAAATTTTTTGCTTTGGGTTAAGTTTTGTGACACAACAACCCAAAATTATTGTACAAATAACAAAATACCTTTTGCTAGTTCAAGTTTCGATTTTAAGAATAAAATGTTTGTAAATAAATAAAAAATTAATAATAAAATTTAGAGTATTTTAGATATTGCATACGGTAGCACGAAATGTCACAATCTACTTAATTGTCAGGTTGTTAATATGGCGACGAAAAAGTGACAATGGAACTACCTTCTTTTTTGTATCATGATTATATTATCAGCGATATTCATAATACTATACTAGAGACAGATTATGACAGGGTGACCTTAATATGGACACCAAGCCACAAGGGGGTTCCTGGCAATGAGACAGCTGATGAGCTAGCCAAAGATGCACTCAATCTGGATGAAGAAATACATGTTAAACTCACTAATGAGGAGGCCCTAAGAAACATCAAAAATGAAATTTACCAAAGATGGTATGAAGAATTTCTAGCGTACTCTTCCCTTAAACCAAATCTTTTTTCGCAGATTTTCCCCTTCAAATCCAAGAAAACCTGGTTTCATGATGGCCACTTAGATGCCAAAGACACCAAAATAATCAATCGCATTTTCACCGGCTGTACTTATGACAGCGAATATCTTTATAGAATCAAAGCCAGAAACTCAAACATATGTAGATGTGGTATGCAATACAGTTATATACATCAAACCTTCCACTGCTCCTTTTTAAATAGCGCTCGGGAGGGCCTCGATATCTTCAGAGATAATGGCAACTTCCACGATATCCTTCACGATCTCAACTACAGCAAAATCACTCAACTTACCAAATTCTTTCAAAAAGCCGAAATCAAATTTTAACGTTAACAAAATTTCATTCATTTCATTTTAAGTTTATCGGTGGTTCAGTACCGTCCACCGAACTCATTTCCTTTTCCAAATCCAAATCCAAAACCAAAAAAAAAAAAACCATGACACCAGCAATACAAAATACATGTGGTTGTTGTTGTTCTAATCTAAATTCGCCAGTAACATCCCCTTCCATAAATCCGCCTTGATTAAAATCAGTAAAACGGTGCGGTCCACGCCCACTTTTTATTTATATACTTTTTATTTATATTTTCCCTCAACGGCCGCTATACTTCACTTGTTCCGCAGTTGTACCCCGCAGAATTACCACAATTATTTGAAATTCATCAAAACGAACGCAATGTTTTTTACAAACAACTTTGGAATGAATTAAAAAAGTTAATTTCCGCTTGCAGATTATTATGAGGGTTGACACGCGGTAGCCCTCCCAACTTTTTTGGATGATTTTTGGGCAGGTTCCGCTAAAACTGCACTATAACATCAACTTAGAGGGAAATGTCCCATAATTTAATAACTTACATTTTTACTTCACAGGACTTTTCATGATTACAGAAGGGGCAATTAAACTGCTGGTCCAACGGCTCAATATTTTTCTTTTTTGGTGGAGGTTTTCTTTTCGATTTTCTGCGACCCATCTCGTTCAGTTAAATGTAGTTCTATTAAGCCGACTAGAAAGGAGACATCACTATAAGTGCAACTTTCCTTTTTACAAATAGGAATTAGTTATGTGCTGAATTTTAGGTACACAATACTCGGTACCCAATACTTAAAAAAATTTCAGTACCCAATACTTCCTTTTCGGTACCCGATACCGATTCTTAACATTAAGGGCCGTTTGCACCATGTCTAGTTAATTCTAACTCCCAGTTAAACATCTTTATCGACGTTATCGACACCCATCATATAACATGTGATCGATAAAGCAGTGGATGTGCTTAACTGAAGGATGTACCTCCAGTTAGCGTTAACTAGACATGGTGCAAACGGCCCTAAGGGCCGGTTTTTCAATGTCTGGTTAACACTAATCTCCGTCTAAACATCATTATCGACGTGTTCGTCTCAATGCATATAACCTGGAGTCGGTAACGTCGATAACGATGTTTTACCGGAGATTAGTGTTAACCAGACATTGAGTAACCGGCCCTAAACCTTCGTTAATATATGCATTTCTGGTTTAGAAAAAAATTTTAATTACTAATTTATATGATATCGGCTAAAACACTTGAACTTATCGCAACAGAGAAATATTATTTTGTCAGTTTTAATCTAAGTTGATCCAAGGTTCAAGAAAAATGCTTTTACGAATGAAAAAGCCTTTTAGGGGGGAGATTTTGTACCCAGTTAGCGACAAGTTTCGGATCGATGTCGCACTTGTTGACTTAAAAATATTTCATATCATTTGTCAACAAAACCGATGCCGATTCGAAAGTTGTCACTAATTGGTACAGAACATTCACATTTTATTGAAGATAAATGTTTTAAATTTCCTACCACTAGCTTATTAATAAACTCACTTTGCACTATGCACTTTTTTGCAAATTTCGACGTCGGTTCTGCGCAAAAGTACTGTGGACGGCGTTGCCGGAGTGATATGCACAAGAAATGTTATATACCTTTGACATGCGGAAACGCCTCTTCCCCGCAACACAGAAAGGAGAATTCTACTTAGTAAGCGCGGCCGATGGTGGACCTAACAAAGTGCATGTTTTCAATGGCCTGGAAGAAGCTGTTATTGCATTAACTGGATTGAGAACCAGAGCTTCAGGCATAGGAGGAGTTCTGGCTTGTGGTTCAAGAATTCAACCAAGAAGCTGACATAGATGCGCCCATGGTTACTGTGCCCGACGGCTTCGCATACCTTTGTGAATCCATTGCCATAGCGCCCGCTTACTCTGCTGCTATAGTTGCAAATATGNATTGAGAACCAGAGCTTCAGGCATAGGAGGAGTTCTGGCTTGTGGTTCAAGAATTCAACCAAGAAGCTGACATAGATGCGCCCATGGTTACTGTGCCCGACGGCTTCGCATACCTTTGTGAATCCATTGCCATAGCGCCCGCTTACTCTGCTGCTATAGTTGCAAATATGTACATCAGAATCCATAATTTTCCTCGAAATATGTAAAATTAACCAATTTTACAATAAACAAGCACAAGATGAGTGTTTTTTTAATTCCTTTCCACTTTGTTTTCCTTCATTCAGCTATCTTCGAAAAACAACTGATAGCTGGCAATGCTGCACATGTTTCCGCAAGGGTTGTAGCATGTGGATTTTTCATTTTTCGTAGCGTAGCTACGAATTACGAACTACGAAAATTCGGGTTCTAGAATAAGGGGTTTGACTGCAAAATCAATGTAGATCTTTTAACACGCATAATTATGGCGGTGCACGAACACGACTGCAATGGCTATACGGCGTTGTTATTCACTTGAATCCAGTTGAGACAGCTGATCTAGTTCAGCTAATGATGATGGTATGATGTCTTCAACTCGTCCGTGGAAACCTTCAACTACCCTGGAAAGGTAAATTTCATAACCACAATATTCTAATTAGAAAACATATTTTAAATTAAATTAAAGGAGCCATTTGGTCTGAAGTTGCAAAACCAAAACAACGTTTTGCGACAAATGAGTGAGTTCATGTCAGAAGTGGTGATACCAGGTAAAAAGGGTTTGCAGCAATTCCAGAAAGGTGTTTTGATGAGTACTTAAGCGCTCCAATGTTGTACGAATATTACAGAGCTGCAAAAGTCAGTATGAAAGTAAAATACTATGCAATAATATTGAACATTCTCCGGCAGCAAAAACCAAGTTTTTAAGGTTCATCATGTCAGCGGGAAACAAGCTGGCTAAGTTACAAAACATCGGCAGTGGTGTCAGTGTTATCATTGATGGGCAGCAAACAAATTTTAGAAATCGGCCGCTTCACAAGTTTGCCATTACAGAAAAGCGTAACGACCCTTACTAGACCATCTGCACCGGGATGTATCTCATGCACTCTCGCCAACGGCCAATAGCCAGGAGCGCTACGCTCATGTTGCAGCAAAACGATGTCGTTGACGCGAAGATTTTTTTGAACTTGTGTCCACTTGGTGCGAGTTTGTAGAGTGTGTAAGTATTCGTTAGCCCATCGATGCCAGAAATGTTGCTTTAGGCGCTCAACTAGTTTCCAGCGGGTCAGGTGGTCGATATTAGAGTCAAGCAGGCTCTCCTCTGAGACGCAAGTTGTGGGTTCACCTACAAGAAAGTGTGCAGGTGTCAACGCTTGATGATCAGTGGGATATGCTGACAATGGGCAGAGCGGCCGAGAATTCAAGCAACTTTCAATTTGTGCAAGAAGCGTGCTGAGTTCTTCAAAAGTAAGCACCCGATCTCGCATTATTCGTCTTAGATGATGTTTAGGCGACTTAACCGCCGCTTCCCATAAGCCTCCGAAATTTGGTGAAGCGGGCGGAATGAAGTGCCATGTCGTACCTTCATTTGCAAGTGCGGCAGCAAGATGTTCGGGGAGCGAAGCCTTTTGCTGCTGAAAGGAAATCTTTAGCTCTTTGTTAGCCCCTACGAACGTAGTACCGCAATCAGAGTATAAATCGCTGCATCGACCCCTCCTTGATATAAAGCGACGAAATGCGGCGATAAAGGCGTCAGTATTTAAGCTTGAAACTACTTCAAGGTGTATGGCCTTCGTGCACATGCAAATGAACAGGCAGATATAGCCCTTTGTGGTTGCCGCTTTGCGAAGTAGTGAAAGCTTTAGTGTTATGGGACCAGCGTAGTCGAGTCCACTGTGCTGAAACGGTTTAGTTGGTTGAAGACGAACTGCGGGTAAATTTCCCATTTGCTGCTGATGCACCTTCGCTGTGTATTTGAAACAGATTACGCATTTACGGAGCACGGATTTTGCTAAGCTGCGCGCTGATAGAATCCAGTAACGTTGAGATACAAATGAAAGCATCTGCTGAACGCCGCCATGTAGAGTTTGGTGATGAGCGTCTGTGAATATTATAAACGATAAAAATGATTGTTTTGATAATAACACTGGATGTTTGACGTCAAATGTAATTTTCGCCTTCGAAATTCTACCTCCGACCCTTAGCAAGTTATCACCATCCAGAAAAGGAGCTAATTGAAGAATTTTACTCTTTTTGTTAAGAGTTTGTTAATTTTCCAAACGGTGTATCTCTTGGGTACCTGCTTGATTATTACAGCGAGTGCGTGTTTAATCTCGCGTGATTTTAGAAAGCCCGTCTCACATAAATTGTTCTCTATGTTGTGTTGCTGCAGCGCTGCTCTTAAGTTATAATAAAAGCGTAGAATATACGCGGTGACGCGCACAAGCCGAGAGAGCGAAGAGAATTTACAAATAAAATCGGGGTATTCCATAGAGTTTTAAGCTAACGTAGTTACGTGAGAAGCGATATATGATTTTCGCTCTTCTAAACACGTTTCGAAAGTTAAGTTCTCGTGTGGCCAGTTCGATATTGGCCCAGTAAGCCAAGTCGGCCCAACAAAATGTATGTGCTTTAAGCTCTCTTGGAGTCAGACCGCGTGTTAAGCAGTCCGCTGGATTCTCGCTTGAACGCACGTGCCTCCACTGACTTACGTCAGATATGCGCTGAATCTCAGCTACGCGATTGGCGATGTACACGGACCAGCGCGTGGAATGGCATCGTATCCAACTCAAAACCACTGTGCTGTCGGTCCAATAGAAAACAGGAGCATCCGCGTGGAAGTAGGTTTTCACTTTCGCCATGAGTTTACCCAGTAACGCCGCCGCACATAATTCCAGTCTCGGAATTGACACAGTTTTGAGCGGTGTTACCTTAGTTTTTGACTGAATAAGTGATGC